AATGATTTACCGTCCTAAATTGCAAACAGTGCTTCGGCTTTCACGGACGCACATATCATTGAAGGCTTTTCCGACAATAAAGGCAGCTCAATGGAAATTAAGTTGGAAATGATCAGTGTTACACGAACGAAGAAAAAACCAAGAAAAATGGTCTAAAACTCGAGAAACGAGACTGTTCCTTGTTCCGCGATGCGAACCTCAGGCATATCGCGTTGATAGCGCGCCAATCGTGCCGCAAGGTAGGCCATGCTAGATCGCCAGGGGCATGTCCTTCTATGCGAACTGCGTGTCGGTACGCATCCGTAGGATGTTCGTCTGTCCCAACACTAACTAGGTGGGTTTCCCCTTTATCACCCTTCGACCATATATGTAATCCTCCTCAACATAGAAAAACCTGGAGGATGGATGGAAGCGTTAATCATGAATACATATAAGAACCTGGAGGATGGATGGAAGCGTTAATCATGAATACATAGAAGAACCTGGAGGATGGATGGAAGCGTTAATCATGAATGCCAGGTACAACGCATTCCCTGCTTTTCATCTCAATCCAACAACTTGGTCGTCGGGTGGGAGCGATCCATTCAAATGCCCCAAATCTGAAATGCCGTTCCCAGCTAGCCCTCTCAGAGGGAAACATGTAACATTCCCACCGCGGATTCCGCGGGGCACGACTCTATGTGAAAGGCTAGGTTGTCCTGCGCACTAGTGGGAAGAAGAGGGGGGAGTGGACGGGAAGGAAGACAGATCATGCGAAGAGAATATCATACAATCGGCTTCATCGAAACACCATTTACAAATGTCAAGGAACTGTTGCGTTCTACACTAGCTAATTCGCAACAAACTTTATGACCATGGATGCAACAACAATGATGCTAGTTCAACATAAATGAATGAATGTTGAGCCGCACGGGTTTTGAACCTTGCAGTCGAAATCTGTAGCGGAAAAATGGACAGCCCTTCGGAAGTGCTCCTTGAAGTACACATAGCCGGTGAGAAACGCAGAATTCTGCTTACCATGTATTGTAAGTCTTCTTCTCCACAAGGCTAGTCGTCGCAGTCGCAGGATCTGCAATCCTTGTTGACTACCGCCACTTTATTTTGTTTGGCGCATCTTCTTCCATGGCCGTCACTTCGCTTGATTCCATCTTGATCACGTCCACCTTTTTTTCGGGATACTCGCAGTCGCTTATCCTGCTCTTCCGAAGTCCGCTGCTTTTCGTTTCGTGTGACCGTGTGGTTTGCTTAGCACGTGTCCATACCATCGCAGGAATTGTTCCCGCATCTTCAGCTGGACAGGGAGCAGTCTGCATGACCGCTCTGACATCCTCGTTTCTGACCCTGTTCAGTCCAGCCGCAGGTCCATCTCAGCATCCTCATTTCAGCGGAGTGAATTTGCCTTTTGTAAACACTATTCAGCAGCCAGATTGCTTCCAAGGTAGGGAGGGGAACTCCTCCACTCTACCGATAACTTCCTCACGGCCGTTCAAAATCAGCTCTGTTTCTGCGCAGGCAGACTCTCTCACAGCTTGTGAAATCAGGTCTTGCTTCACGTTTTTTTACCTACATTTTTAGCGCTATCGCTTCAACGTCTGGGTTACTGTGGAATGTGTTGTCAGTCGACTTCGTCATGGATGTCTAATTAACTAATAGGATTTTTACCTAACCTGAGGTTCGAACAAGGACTCTGGCGTAGTTGCTGTAGAAAGTCTATGTAATATTGCTGTGATACTTTTCTTAACGGTGAAAAATGGTACTATCATGATAACAAATACAATAGCATAGTATGTAACTGAAAAATATCCCAAATTAGAATTGGTCAGATTATATGAAAATCTTGACCCTATTAGGATCAAAGGAATTTAGCCATACAGATGTTACTGTATCAATAATAGTGTGCATGAATGGTTCGGACAAGTTACTAGGCTTCGTCCAACTGATGGGTGAGAGCATAGATCCCAGATGTCGCAGGACGCGACGTTTGTTCATACTCCCACTGCACGTCTGGCGTTGTTTTGCTCCATGGCCTTTCCGTTCGACGCGCACGAACCTAGAAGTGTGCGCGACGTGGTCCGCTTTTAGCCGCGGCCAGTCGTAATCAGCCGCCCCCTCTACCGGTTGAGGTGTACTTCCTCTCCATAAGAGAGAGAGCCTCAGGCACGGTCGCCAGGAGACTACAGAATACGAAGAGCAGGTCATCCGCAGCCGTTACTTGGCAATTGATCGCCTTAGCGGAGTGCCTACTCTTAAAGGCAAGATTCAGCTTCAAATTGATGAGGTAATTCTACTCAAATGTGATGTAGGGGTGGGAGGTGGACCGCCAGTGGAGAAAAAAAGGAAAAAAATCGTGAAATACACAGGAAATACGAGCCTTTTGCTCTACGCTGCGGAGAAGTTCAAAAGGCCGGCAGGGAGATGAGAGATAATGTGAGCGCGGAGAGCGGTAGAGAAGTCCGAGAAGAGAGAGCATAGCAGATCAAGCATTGCGACGCAGACAAGATATCGAGCGGTGGGCGGAGCGTGTCGCAACAGGTGGAGCGTGTCAAAGTCCTTAGCCCTAGCGTCTTAGTGACGCATTTCGATGCGGGAAGTGGCGAGTCGCCTGCAGTTGCGTCCCAGCACTTCTAGCCACTTAAGGGCTTATTAAGTGGGTCTGAGCCCGAACTTTGCCTTTAACACGTTGACGACAACGCGCGTTTTGGCTTTTTTGGCCGCGTGGGACCGGCGCGATTTTGCGAGCGCGCCCGCCTCCGGTAATTCAAGCGGATTTTGGTTTATAGATGCACAAAACAATGTCTGATCAAAAGTAATATCGCTACCTTCCAGCGTGCAGAAGCTACCCAGGAGAACAGTAGAGGAAATTCCATCAAAAGACGTGAAATAACAATGAGAAAAGCAAAATTAGTCAAACCTAGCTGCAATGAATGCTAAAAGGAGTTTTGAATTGATTGTCTCGATCAAAACACATACCTTGTCATCCCTTAGGTTCCACATTTACTTCTTCTACTCTTTTAATTGTCACATTAATGAAAAGAAAAAATAAATGAGAAATTAAATGAAGTAAGTGCGTTGTAAGGTATCGGGAATCTTCGTCTGAATCATGACATACGTGAGCATTTTGTGGGCCACTATCTTGGTAGCTATACTAAGGTTTCTTCCAAATGATATGTACGAAAAACTAAGAAAAGAATGGCGCGTGCGCGGAAGAAAATGAATTTATTGGGTGCAGGACACATACGTCCCGCGCTGTCCGTTATGGCCTGCAAAGTGCGGGACGTATGTGTCCTGCGTTGTCGTCAACGTGTTAATATCCACCGCCCTTATCGGTCGCATGACAGGAAGGTGTGATCGACTGTTGGGTCCTCGAAACGAACTGAAGGAAGAGGAGCGCACCTACGATTTTCGCACTGACCATTGACCTCTTGGGAGATGGACGTTCTCCCCTAATGAGACACTGGACGCCGAGGTGAGAAGGCCAAGCGGACAGCACGGCAGCAAATGAAACGGACACGTAAATTGTTTCAAAGGGGCTACAATTGTAGACCCACGGTCAAGGTCGAAGCTCAACTGTGGTACTCTTTTACCTCACGGGAATCTCACATTTTCTACACGCATGGGTAGCTTTGTCCCACTCACAGAAGAGATTAGTCAACATAGATTTGTCGAAAAATGTGCCTTACGTTGGAGTAGCACGAAATTACTCAAGAGTGAATGACCCCGAGCTGCTGAAGGTGATACAGTTCAGGGTTACGAAGCTGCTAAGTAACTATGAACAAAGCCCTTCACACTCGCGTGAAGTCACACCAGATGACTCGCACCAGACGTAAACATCCTCAAGTAGATTTCTTAAAGTTTGCAACGGTCATGATTTCACGAGGCATACTTGGCAATCACATCGAAATTTGTCTATCACTGTGAAATTAAAAGGTAATTAAGCGGCGTGGAGGATATGGATGGACGGGTCGGTGAGAAATTACGTGATATAAATTTAACCATTACTATCTGCAGTCAAAAAAATGTGGTAAAAAAGAATAAATTGGCAACAGTATGAAAGCACATGTATAAAACTCATGAACTGACACACGGCAGCCACGAAATACCGGATCACGTTGAAACCGAGAGCACCCGCTACGGCAACAATGATGCACAACCCGAAAAGGTATACCAATCGCTGAAATGATACAAAATGTTATTCTAAGTATGAACCCTTGAGATGAAATATGCATAGTGAAACTCATAACTCTGACTAATAACTACCTTTTGACTCATAAAGAACGTGTATTAGCTGAAAAGAACGGGTTGCGACTAGATCTATAAAGCAATTCTCCCTCTTCACTGTCCTTTCTCTTCCTCAGGGAGGGTGGAGAAAAGATAGCATAGGCGATCCTCCAACCTGATGCCGGATTTGGCAGCGACACCTGCCAAGCAGACTGCGAAGGAAAAGCTGCAAGGCCGAAGCATATCGATAGGATGCCCAAACTTGGCTTGACCACCGGACCACTGCTCAACCGAAGTGCCAGACGTGAGGATGACGTGAATGACCTGATTTCGCGCCTTACGAATTCTCCTGCGCTGCATCCGCTTCCTGTTGTCCTTGGTAAAACCGCTAGAAAGTTGCAGTGGAGCGTGGTTTCATCCCGGCGCATACAGTAGAACCGCAGGTCGTACCAAGATAGCAATCCTTCACCACTAGCCATATGTAGGCCGAGTCCTGTTACTTGAGGCGGAACTCTTCATAAAAGCGACAACCATTGGAAAATCATAATATGGGGAAGGGCTTGGTAAGCCACCGCGGAGGCAACATACTTCTTGAAATTCCACATCTAGGTCTTTCAAAATTATTCTATAAACCCTTTACGTTAGGTAGATTTCCCTATATTTAGCATGAAATAATCGTAGCTTCTGCCTCTGAATAATAAGTAAAGAGAGTGGCTTCCCTTTCACCAGTCGAAACAAAAATTTCTAATTTGGTAAAGAAAGAAATTCAAGATAGAATGGTCTTACACCAGTATCGTAGTCCGTGCGGTAGTCGACTGTTCGTAGTTCCCTGCAAGTTGTATTTTAAGCCAATATTCATGTTCATTCTCATGAACTTCATGAACAAAACGCGCAAATGTGGAATCTTACTTACTCAGCGTAAAACTTTGAAATTTGCGCAACTTGCGTTATACTAGCAGTATTGTTCATACAACGAGTACCATATGAAAAATATCCAGGTCCCAACTGTCTTTTGCATTTTACGTCGTTAACCAAAGAAACGCAAAATCTTTCTAACGTTAACGTTGCTGAAAAAAGAGCGAGTGGAAGCGGCTGCTTGAATGCATTCCGTGTACCTTACCATTAGATAATAGGAGAACCCGAAAAATCGTCTTAGCTAGCTTGAGTCCTAAGTGTTAGGTAGATTGTCAATCGGAAAGTCTTCTCAAATAGCTTGGCAGTATCGAAAAACTGGAGGCACTCTCCACTGTCGAATCCTCGTAAGGGCGTCGTAGTTGGTGTCATTGGGGTCATATTCGGTTCTCGAGAAGAGAGGTCGCTGGGGCGTTGGTTGTACACTGAGGATAGGGAGTAGTGAAGCGATGAAAGATAGGCGAATTTCGAGTCTTACCAACAATGTATACCTTCCTGGCATCGATCTCTCTCCCCCTATCAAATTTTTTTGGACCTATTGAAGATTGAGCTGGAACTGTTTCGCGCAATTAGGAGTTCTACGCACCATCTGCATGATTTACACCACCCTTCCGAGAGTGGGGCTATAAGGGTTCAAGAGGGAGAGGAGAATTTGCTAGAACTTCCTTGACCATCCTCACACATGATACCCCAGGAAGAATAATAAATAATGCGTAATAGAAAAAATATAAAAATGTGTCTGCCACCCATAGGGAAGGCAAACCTCTGGATTGAACGAATTGAATGTTGAATGAGATTTCAAAAGTGAAAGTTATGAAGCTTGACATACTGTCGTTGCTTCGGCATGTCACAATGATTTCGGGATCACGTAGAAGGTTGACAATGTGCTTCGCAACGGGATACGAGTTGTGGATACCAACTGTCGCTCGAAAGTACAGCAAAATCGTTATTAAAATGCCAATAACTGAAACAAAGAAATAGGGTGTGGTGAAGACTCTTCAGGCGGCAGAACAATGGCTTTTTCTTGTGTCATTCCCACTGTGGACTTGATTTCTGTAGCAAGGGATATTGCTATACTGCGCTGTTACCTCGCGATCTGCTACAGGTCAGCTGGAGCGGGAATATTGAACGTTCTCCGGCATCAGTTGTACACGTGGCGATGTTTTTTCTACTTCACATGATCTCTGCGCTATTGTGACCGCATTTGTCGCAGAGTCTGCATTGGCGAAATCCCGATCATGGATTGCAGTCTATGTTGAAAATAGTTGCCTTTTAGAAATCATAAATTGATAGCGATTATCTGGATCACGCAGTGAAGAAGAAGAAGATCAGCCAGTGGTAAATTAAACGTTGCCCTCCTTGTAAATTGATCTGACATGAGGTAGGTACCACTCGACGAAGGAGACATTCGCTTGTAGTTCCTGGTCAGAGCACGGTACCCGGGTTCTTGCTAAATTCCATTTCTGCTTTATACCATTCTGCCTCACATCGCAAGCGCCTCTACTAACAATTACTCCATCTTTCCATAGAAACACCATTTGCAAACAAATTTTTCTGTCCTCGTCAGAAGTTTTTTATGAATGCAATAACTCCTCGTATTGAACCCACATTCGAATCCTTTTCCGTAGCTGCGCATCGTTTTCACAATACCGCTCTGGCACCATTGACCGACAAAGATTTCCATGTGTAATACAGGACTAACAAGTACAAACAACATAAACCAGTATATAACAATGAAAAAGTCTGAAATGCTCGCCGTAAATGTTGCGGGTAACTTTTGCGTCTCACAGCACACACCAACAGTTCGACCTGGCACGTCAAAATGAATTCAAAGACGCATTCCCCAGTTGTTTATGTAGGCTATTGGGTACAAGAATGAGAGTAGAGGTGTGTAGTGGAACGCTTGCGAAGAAATAATAAAGAAAGAGCGCCGAAGACATAGGAAATAAGGAACATTTCGTACCTTTGGACGAGATTACAAAAAAAGTATTGGTTACCGAAGCAGACAGATTCGGTGATTTGTTCTACGTTGAAAACGCAGACACCACCACGAGATGCGCGGCCGGATCTCCAAGTGATAACTTTGACCTTCGTTGTCAATCGTTTTGATGCCGTAAAAGTAACCCTAACTCCGCTGATCCGGACCTAGCTACCTCACTCATAGCTGTGGCTGACTTCTTCCACTCATACTACTCCGAAAATTGTTAGGATGCAAGTCTTGAGGCACTCAAACATGTTTCAAATCCTTTTACAAATTCATTTGAACTCTCACTCATTGAACAATATATTCACCATCATTATCTGTGACATTCATCCAACGAAAGGGCAAGTCGGCCATTCCTTCTCCCAGAAAGGAGAAGAATGCGAGTCAAAGAAGTCAGCCACAGCATTTTTGAGGTCATTAAAAGCGGTTAAACTTCTTCTTGGCCGCGAACTGCTTGATGCCTAAAAGATGACAGGCAGAAGGGACGAGCCAAGCGAATAGGAAGTGTAGAAAACGGTGTTCTAGCCCACTTCCAGCAGCCAGGACTGCATGGTCATTGCGACGTGAAGTCGAGCGTTATCGTGCAGAAGATGAACAGAAACCTTCTCGGTCGGTAAATGGTAGCCATGACCGCCTGACCTTGAGGAAGCATTTTGTGGTATAGCATCGCCTTCCATTCTCAAAAGCCACACAGCAGAACCTTTTCGGTGGCTGATGTGGGTGATGTGGTGGCTTCGGCTGTATGGACAAATCTTCTCATTTGGAGAGCCAGACAGCGACCCTCTTGTTGTTGTTATGAAGGATCCAACTCTCATATTTCATCACCAAACTCTGCAGAAACTGTTTCCTATTTGGATAGAGGAGCGACAGGCTGATTGATACACGCGCGTGACGTGGATCGCGGACGTCGAGCAGTTCTTACAGAATCCATCGAGCGACTTTTCTAAAACCATGCTCGAAAAGATGTTGATCATGATGGCACTGGGCAAGCTCCGCAAAGTCCTTGCTCGTGGCCTTCGGCTTCTTCCTCACTTTCTGAGAAGTCGTTCATCATTGGCAGCAACTTGTCGAACAAGGATCACCATCAACGGTCGTATCTCCAGACGAAAAGCGAGCGAATAAACGATTAGCGATCCCTTGGCTACCGAGATCCTCTCTGAATGCAGTGCTAATGTTGGAGGCAGCGGAACAACACTGGAGCTGCAGCGCCATCCGTAGAAGACGTTTGCTCGAAGTTGATCATTCGACACGACATGGTTCACTAGTGGATCGCTCGGGGACCTACTTGAACAGTGCTAGTGGTTGTCAACTCTGACACTGGTCTAGTACGTGGTGACCACAAGGACGGCAAAAATTCCTGTAGAGCGATGACGATCAACGTAGATTTGTATCTCAAGTCTTTGGCGTAATATTATCAAACGGGGTGAAAAAAGCCTAGTTTCCGTTTCGCATGTGCCCTTGAGCGAAAACTAGACGGATAATAGATCCTGTCTAATTCTGACTCTAGCGTTTCACCCAATTAATCATCATATTCATTTTTTTCGAACAACAACTGTTGATACGAAAGGTGGAATAAAACCCACATCCACCTCGTTGTATCACAAACTTAGCAAAATTCCACAAAATTTCAGAGTCTTGTGCGAGGCCACAAAACATCAAACAGTTGACTACTTTGATGTATGCTGGATCATCTTAAAAAAGGAATATTTGAAATTATGATGGTCTACGTGATAAATGGCAACAGTCCTACCAACGTGCTTATATTCAATCTGGTCATCTGTCTCTACCCACGCACTGCTCGTTGGATGGCTGGAACTCTCCTGAAATTGAGTAGTAAGAAAGCTGGTTAAAAGTGTAAGTTGCTATATAGAGGTGTTCAAATTCCTGACAGCTGAATAAAATTTTCATGCCCATGATGGGATACAGGAAACTGCTGAAGTTTACGGCTTCAAAACTCATCTGCCACGTCTGCCACGCTGAGAAACCTTACTTCAGTTATTATATTTGGTGTATATTGAACTAGTGAAATTTATTTTCGGGTAATTTATATCTTTTATAAAAACCACTTACAGCCCCTGGTTTTGAATGAATTTCTCGTCTGCCACGCTGAAAAATTTGTGGTACGAGTTTTGGACGAGACGAAGCGCTTTGGTTCTGCCGAGGAAGCTTGGCGATACTCTCATTCGGTGTTACAGGCATCAGCGGTTTCATTTCTGACCTGTCGTTGTTAGCCTTGCGACTCTGAAATTTTACCCACCTGTATTCGTATAAGAGCGCCAGAAAGTGCTTGCGCATTTTATTCTTCATCTTGTAAAATCTTTTAGGATCATTTCGAAACTTCACAGTGAGACATGTGTTAACGATGGTCAATGCTGAGCAGGTCTTGCCGCAGCATTTCACAGCTTCTGAAGTTGACAACGTCGTCCGCTGGAGTATGTTCACTGCTCTCCGCAAGCCACAAAAGGCATGGGTTGCAGCGAAGCGGCAAGAGGCCTACGTGTTGTGGCGTATGTACCTCGCACCAACTTTCACAATATGGCAATTATTTGGTTGCTGATGTCTAGATACCTGAGAAAAAACACCTCG